CTCCCTCGGATATTTTTTTATCGAGTATATGCTCTTCCGGTTTAACGATAATCTTGGCCCAAATAGGGAGGATGAGCTGGAAATTGGGATGATTTTGTGATTTCGCGCGCAAAGTATTGGAATTTTAATGAATTTCGATTTCCAATTAAATTAAATTTTCGCAGTGAGTAATGCGCGAGTATTTCTCGACTCGTAAAATTCGGGATTAATGGCAATTGAATTGGTTGAAATCGAGGAAACGTTTGGTCGAAAGGGCTACACGAGTACCGTTAACGGAATTTGTAAAATTTCTTCCTTCAATTAAATAGATTTACGATTCGTGGGGAGGGGAGGGAAACGAGCGAGTCTATTTACTCTATTTCTTCCCGATCTTGTAAATCACGATTCAACGGTGATCTCCGTTCCCGAGCTTTTCTTCGAATCGATCGACCTTCCATAATTAAAATCCTTAGCCACGTATTGTCTTACTTTTTTTACTTTTACCATCGAATTTTCTTTCACGAGTATTTCATTAATTTTTTTTTCCGATAAGTCGAATTCCAACTAAAGTTTACGCAACTTTATACGATCAAGATGCCTCGAAATTTTTATACGGTGTACGGTACACGGCGACTACACGCTTTTTTTCTTCTTCTTTTTTTTTGTAAATGGATGTAATAATTTCTCGATGCACATGCCTCTTCTTCGCGAATGGCACGATGGAAAATGGCAATTTTTATCGTATTTGTAGCATCGTATGGCCCGTTTCGCGCAACTTTTCCTCCGATTTATAAAACGTCCGCGTGTTATTATACATGCGGCGATACGATCGAAGAAATGATCGATCGATCTCGCTTTCCATCCATCTCTTGGAGGACTCCCCCTCCCCTCCCCCTTGGAGGAACGCCCACCGAGAAAAATGGCCTATTAATTTTTCTCGATTGAATTAAAAAGAAAAAAGGAAAGATGAGACCGATTCATTCGCCCCTATAAAAATTCATTACACCGATCCAATTAATCGTTCGCCGCTTTCGTGAAATCCATTAAGTTTTCTACCTTGTCATCGAACTGTTCTTCCTCCCTCCTCTTTCCCCTCCACCCGGCTCACTTGTCCGGCGTGCGTAGCGCTGGACCCACGTAACGAATTTTCGTTCGCGCGAACGAAGCTCAATTCAACCGCTATTCTTCGTCTATTTCCGCCTTCATCGAAGTTGGAAGGTGGATACAAAATTTCCAACCATTTCTCACATACGAATTCGAGATGAAGAATTCTTGACGAGAAGCGGATGACCCACGCCCCCTCGGGTGTTGAAGACGCGGCTAAAAGGAACGAGAATTTGGAATTTGGCTGTTACTCCAGTTTCTGGAGGCTCCAGAGTCGCGATCGGGGGAGGAGGGGACGAAGAAGGATGCGACGGATGAAGGCACGGGTCAGGCGAGCAGCGGCCGGATCATTTTTTTCGGGAGAATCAGATGAAAGGACTCGTACGAAAATTTCACCGGTGAAATTTATGTCCCTCTACAGAGGAGGAGGGCCGAGTTCAGTAAGGAAGGAAGAGATAAGTAAGGAAAGAGATCGGCGGGACCACACGCGGAACACGCTTCATTTTTAACGCTGGATCATAATCCCTCCCCGTCGTTGCGAGGAGTCGATTCTTCTCCATTTTCTTTTTCTTCCTTCTTCTTCTTCTTCTTCCTCCCCCTCTTCTTCTTCTTGTTTAAATCTTTATTGGCGCGTGTTCGCCGCAATTGATTTGTCTCGCGATAAATTCACATTAGAGTGGGCGATAAAACGAATTATTGGGTAATAAAACGAATTTTCCTATTTGCATTCCGCGCGATATATCCTCCCCCCTTTTTTTTTATCGCGAATCGTATACGCGATTTCTGCGAGATAAGGGGGGACGTAAAAGGAAATGAACGTTTACAACCATAGAAAATGGTTCCTTCTTTTTAATACTTTTGCGTAACGCGGTTAAAGTCCACCTCGGCACGCTCGTAATAACGTAAACATATTGGAGAACGAGTCGAGATAATTCGATTTCTTCTAATCGGAATGATCGTTCTTTTACTATCGATTGTTCTTTTTTTTTTTTTTTTTTTTTTCGAGAAAATCGTTGACACGATTCTTTCGAAAGCCACGCGAGTGGAAAGGAAACGGGCAAGAAGAGGCGAATGAGATGATCGGTTCATCCTCCCGAGGGGGAAGAAAAGACGACCGCAAGAAACGGACGCCACGGCAAAAGAGCGACAGCCTCGCCGTGGAAACGTAGGATACCAACGTATATAGAAATGACGGTTGAAGGGGACCTACAGTTAGATAACATGTGCTGGACCGACCATCTGTCTAGGAAGCAAGTGGCGGTGGAATGGCTGGCGGAACAACGACATCCTCCCTCCTTTTCTTTCCTCACGATCGGGACGCGATCTTCCGATACGCGACGAGGCAGAAAATTATTCCCTCGACTTCGAACGAATTGTATACGCGTAATTATTTTCCTAAGAGGATAGTCCAGGGATT